ATCCAAGTAAAAAGAAAAATGGCCCAACTCTATAAAATGGGCCCGAATCCGTACATTCAGATTCGATCGTAAACCAGTATTATACTGAATCATAACAAACTAGATTTCAAATAAGTACATAAGGGAGAAGATAGGTTTAAAAGTTAAACACAAAAATGAAAAGAAATGTCATTAGAGACAATTATGATCATTACTTGGTCTTGGTTGGGTTTTTTCAGGACTCCACTTTGTCTTAACCAATAGTTTGATCAGGATTAATCAGACTCTAATTTTAACTGCTTCTTATCATAAAATTATGTTTATCGATGGTTTAGGTCTGCTTTGGGTCTCTTTCACGATCATTGTTTGTACTTAGAGATGCACAAAAACGCCTTAGGGGCTGTTTGGCAATTGCTGAATGGTTTGGTGCAGTATGATTAAGTGGTCATAATGATTAAGAGACTCTCATGACATAATGAAAAATGAAATATAATTGTTTGGTAATTATGTACAATAAAATTAGGGCTCTTAATGGTTAAGGAAGATCCATGATATAAAATCATTCAGAGGGTTTTAGAACCATTAAGGGACAGACTTTTTTTTTGCTAAATAAGATTTACCTCTTAATGAAACTATTAAGAGATAAACAAACAACCCCTTAATCTGAAACTTGGTCTGAAAAAGCCTGACCTAATAAGCCCGAGCCTGACATTAACTCCCAATCAAAACAACTTTTTTGCCAAGGCCCATTAAAACCCGTTAGAAAAGCCCGATCAAACTATCTTTCCACCCTAAACCCGGTCTGTCAGAATCTAAAGCCGAAAAAATCTAAATCTTCATGTATTTCTATTTATACTTGTCTTTACATAATAATATCGAACCAGTCTTCTATCTTCGAGTCTGAATACATATTAATTTATGAAAAAAATAATAAAATATATTTTATCATAAAATAAAAATTAAAAAAAAAAGGACAAAGAAGAACAATTAGGTAGTAGCATTCCATGTTTTGAACCCTTTTTTTCTTATTATTAAAATTAATATCATCCATAATAGATAAATAATTTTATATTAGAATCTCATTAAACATTTGAAATATTTTTTAAGTATATAATATTTATATGCGGCAAATATAACAAATAAATTTACACACTCTCTTTATCTTTGGTGAGGTTTGAACCCCTAACTTCCTAAGAAGTCAAGGACTACGATACCATTAGGTCAAAGGTTCTTATGCTTCATTCATCTAAATATAAATTGATATGAATTATATTTTACTCTAACAGGTCGAATTACAAACGGTATTACCTGTTAGATTCGACCCATTCGATCTGTTAGAAAACAGGTTTGAACAACCATTCAAAAGAGTATGGACGGGCTTGGACAATGAAAATAAGTTCGAACAAGCCCACCTAACCCGTTATATAATTACAAACTTATAGTCAGTTAAAAACAAATTTATAATTAATATTTTATTAAAAAAAGTTTAAAAGTGATTTCCAATTGGACTTCCTGCTATTGAGTACCAACTGTCTTTCAAATATATATTATATGTGAAATGTAATATAATACGTCTCGAATCTTGATCTTGAAATATTGGGTTGTTAAATATTTTGTTGTTGAAAAATCCGAATTTCGAAGGTTGATAATCCTTGTAGAGGAAAAGTCCAAAACCCATAAAATTCTTATGATAACCAGAAGGATGGTGTTCAGTTGGTTTAAACTTGAACTCCAAATGTCAAAAGTGTTTGGAGGTCATAGATTCAAATTTAATTAGAAAAATTCTTTTGTGGCTACGAAGGTTCAAATGCAGTGACTCTGAGCTACCCGAAGCAGGTGGTCGTTCTGGGATTAGTCGGCTTGTATAACGGGTTGGATATCCAGGTTAATGAAAAAAAAAACTTATGATGTGTACATTAGTAGTATATTCACTTTTTTTTCTAATGGAAAAAATCATGCATTTGGAGAATTTTACTTAACTTATCATTTCATGTAAGTTTTTAAAATTAACTTTTTAGCAAGTTCGGCCTATTAATAGTACGGATATGGACAAGTTGATAAGCCCGCAAAAACAACTTGAATAAGCTATATTATGCTTGTTGGGCAAGATAAATACGTTAGGTCCGACCCGTGGCCCGTCCAAGCCGATAAATACCTATTAATTGCTAAAATCTTCATTTTAGAGAATCTATTGCAGAGTATCTCTGATAAATTCTTAAAAAAAATCCAAAATGAAGAGTAAAAATTTAAAATCTCCCAAAAAAATTATGTTCAACTCCTAAAATTTCTCATTTTGGAGATTACTACGTTAATTATATTATTAAAATATTACGTACATTTTATCAAAACATTTACATTCAATTTTTATTATTGGTGATAATAATATCATGAATTATTCCATCACGATAATCATTTTTGGAGAATTCTGCACTTTCTTTTGCATTCTCCATTTTAACGTTGTGTTCTCGAAACTTTTTTTTACGAAGAAAAGGAAAGAAAAAGGAGGAAAGTTAAAAAAAATCGTGTTTTTAAAACTTTTTAGATGGGAAATAAAAGGAAACAGAAGAAAAATAATAATAAGTTTCCTCCCAAATGTGGTAGAAAACGGAAGTAAAGTAAAAGTAATATATTTACATAACTATCTGATCTTTCTTTTTAAAAATATATTTTAAAAGGTGTATTAATAAAATCAACATCTTTCTCCTGACTTTCTCTTCTATTTATGAACATGAAAAATTATTTTTATTTTTTTCCCTTTATTTTCCTTCCATTTCGGGCGTGTTTGGTATATGGGACGGGAAAAAGCTCACTATCTCATGTTTGGCACGACATGGGACAGGAAAAGAACTTACTGACTCATGTTTGTATGACATAGGTGATAGGACAGAGAAAATGATCGGGACAATGTGAGACAGCATGGGACAAAGTTTTTCTTGTTCCACCAAAATAGTTGGAACAAAATGGGACAAGAATGAGACATAAACTAAAATATTATTAATTAATCTTCATTTGATATATAACCTTAATATGGTATTTGTTTTATTGGTCACCGTTGCTAATCTCGGCTATTGTCACCGCTAGTGTCACCATCAGCTACCAGTAGCCACTGTCAGCCACCTCCTCCTCCACTACAACAACCTCCTCTACAACCACCATCGACCACCGTCAGCCACCCACCACCACCGTCCATCGCCACCTCCACAACCATCGTCGGCCACCCATTACTACCATTCATCACTACCACCACCACGGTTGGCCACCTCCACCTTCTCCTATACTACAACAACCTCTTCCGCCACCTCCACAACCACCGTCGTCCATCCACCACCGTTACCACCATGGGCCATCTCACCTCAACCACAACCACCACAGTCGGCTACCACTACCACTGTCCACCACCAACATGGGTTACAATTACCACTATCTACCATCTTTATGTCTTCCACAACCATCGTCGGCCACCTCCACCATAACCGATACCACCTTCGCCAATTGATAAGAATCTTCCAAACTAAATAAAACATGACTTAGTACGAATTGGTGTTTTTCAAACTACGATCAATTATATCAAATTTTTCATTCAAATTTGGTACTATTATATATGTATAGATTTGTGTATATAAAAATTGTGTAAAAATGTTTACAAATTAAATTATTTAATTATTTAATTTATTTTTGTTAATTATAACTATTATATGATATATATATATATATATATATATATATATAGAGTTTGGTTATTATACAACCTTTGTCATTTGTGCAACCAATACAACCCAATTTCAACCGTCCATTTCATTTGATTAATATGTGATTTTATAGAGGTTTTGATTATTTCCTAATATAAAGTATTAATCATAATTAATGAACCGTAT